ATATATTGGTTGTTGGCGTGACATGGCATTTTCACTGTCCCACAAGATAAAAATGAATATAATTAATATTGTCGTTATTTAAAATGCAGTAACTCGTTAAACATGTCTTTGTCCTACATGGACCGGTTGTTATAAAAGCTGCAGTGTTATTCGATTTTTTTTTACATTTTTGAGCCAAATCTCAAAATCTCAAGTCTCAAGCATGGGTCAGTAAATTACAACTTTTATAAATGAAAAAAAAAAAAGCATAAAAATGTTACTAAATACCTCCGACATATTTGTACAAGTGGCTATTTTAGTTAATGGCAATCATTTCTTTCATCTATGTGTTTCTGAAAACGTAGGACCTTGATACATTTTGTCTCTGAAAACCATGTCCTCTGGTGTGACCCCATATCCTGATGGCCAAGAAAACTTGAGCTAGTTGTTGGACCCCAGTCATGGTCCTGCTACTGAAGCCCCTGTGAAGCCCATGTGCACATGTTACATTTTTGTCTCAGAATTGTTCAAATATTTCTCTTTTTTGGAAGCACTACGAAAGTGTTACGTTTTGTTGTCCTTTGGTGCGACACCCCTAAATGACATATTTTCATTAAAATCTGCATGTTAAACTAGATAATCATGAAAAATGATGCAAATGTGTCTTGCTAACTGCTAATGACAAGTTAGCTCGGAATAGCAAGGTCATTAATTGACAGAAAAAGGCCGAAACGTCCTGTGGTGTGACAGAAAATGTCCTCCGGTCCGGTGTGACGCCTGTACGGTCACACCACAGGACAAAGATGTCACACCAGAGGACAAGGTCTCTTTAAAAAGCTTTTAAATGATTAAATATGATTTATTTAACTCCTTTTTATTCTTTTTTGATCATTTTCAGTGTTCTTAAATGCAATAACCACATGAATGAAACTATTTTCTGATGTTTTTACAGAAAACACGAAAATAAGTATAAAATGTGATACTTTGTTTTTGAGACAGAAAGAATAGAGAGAGAGAGGACACAGAAATATACAGAGAAAATTAACAGAAGGGAGGAGATCCTAAGAGAAAATGATGCCTTAAAAAGAGTTGCCATATAGTTT